CAAAGGGTCCTCCAAGGGTGTGTTCGGCGTATATGGGCCTTGACCAGGAGGCCCTCCCCCCGCACCCGCTACTCAAACAGCTGGTGGAAGACAGCAGAAAGCATAAGATCGACCTGATCATAGGTGGTCGCAAACACTTGCGCCCTTTAAGACCAGGGCCCGCAAAGCCTTTAATTTCGCCAGTAAGGCAAACACGGAGACAGCCTGGGTGACGTACCAAGATAACCTCAGGCAGTACAACAAAGAACTGTGTAGGGCAAAAAGGAATGCTTGGACCAAGTTCTGCACGTACATTCAAAAGACATCGGAGGCCTCCCGAATCAGGAAGGTCCTCGCAACAACTGCCCCATATGTACGATACATTCAAATCTCGGAAGGTAGCTGGACCACGTCCAGCAAAGAAACCTTGGAGGCTCTCACAGAGGCACATTTCCCGGGATGCTCTCTAAAAGAAACAACCCGGGAAACGCAGAGACAGGGGGACAGCCCCTCCCTCGCTAACCAACTCGAATATCTATTGAGGTATAGGTATCTCAGCTGGGCGATAAACGGCTTCAAGCCTTTTAAATCCCCAGGCCCAGATGGTATTTTCCCGACACAACTATAGGATGACAATAAATAACCTGGAAAAACATTTTTGATCATAACTTTTTAAGGAACTGTATTTGAGAAAAAATGCAGATATACATTTTTTAAATAGGTATTGTGTTAACATATATTCAGCCGGTTTCAAAGTGGCTTCCTTGGGCTGCGATGCTGAGCCCTAAACTATTCTGGAAATTTAGCGCAATGGACCACAGGTCTTCTTCCGATAATCGATCCCATTACCGGAGCAATGATTGCTTCAGCGCCTCCAAACTTGTGTGGCGTTTAGCACATGCCCTGAACTCCAAAATAGACCACCCACTGTAGTGCATCGGAAGATCTGGCGAGTAAGGTGGCCATTCACTGGATGTGATAAAGTCCGGAAAATTGGCTTTGCACCAGTCCTGAATCAATTTGGCTCTATGAGCTGGCGCTGAATCCTGTTGAAACGTTCACTCCGTATCACCGAAGTGCTGCTGGGCCCAAGGAAGCACAACAGTTTCCAAAATGTCCTGGCGGCACTCTTCCTGGTGTGTGTCTCCGGGTGTTTTACCGGTGTAAAACAAGACTGATCACATTGACGGCGCTCGATTATTGCAGAACTTCAGCCGACCAACTTCTGTCATTTTGGTGATTGTGCGCCTGTTGGATGGTGAATATCTTCTCGTCTGTGAAGAGAATACGCTCCCATTTTTGACCTGCGATGCTTTAGCTGACGGCATCTTTGGAGTCTCAAGCGCTTATTGTCATCCGTAAAAAGATGCACTTTTTGGAGCTTGTAGGGCTTGAGATTAAGTTCATTTTTTGCAATCAACCGAACACATTCTCGATTAACTCCGATTTCACGGGCTATTTTTCTAATCGAGACTCTGCAATTCTGAGTCATCCGCTTTTTCATGATCTGGCGAATTCTGGAAGTGTTAGCGGTGCATGTTCTGCCTCGTCCGGCACGGTCACCTACATGGCCAAGCTCATTAAATCGCCGGATAGCGTCAGAGACTTTTTGTTTTGGTATGCCAAGCAAACGAACAATGTCGCATTGGCGATTTCCTTGTTGAAACAAAAAAATTTAATAATATATGTGTTTCAGAAAAGTACAAGCCATCGATAAATGCATTTATTTAAGGTCTGCATCATAACACATTTATAATAGATTGCTTCAAAGTTTGTCCGGGTTATTTATTGTCACCCTGTAATTAAAGCCGGACCCAATCTGAGGTCATGTATCAGGAAAGCTTTCTCAGCAATTTTCAGAATAGCCATCATACCCGCAATGTGGTTGCGGACAAAGGTGGTGTTCATACCCAAAGCGGGAAAACCACCACCATCAACCCAGATAATATCTCGGGATCACAGCATGCGTATAAGAAGGGCCTATCCACGGAAACGGCACTCCACGAGATCACTACTTTCGTCGAAAGGCACTTAGTGACAAGAAATACGCACTCATTGCTTTTCTAGACATAGAAGGTGCGTTCAACAACATCCTGCCATGCTCGATAATCAATGCGCTGTCGAGACTAGAAATAGACGATCGAAACAGGACTGTTGAGGCGTCATTAGGAGGATAATATATTCAAAAATAAGTCAGATGAGGCACTCTTCAAGGAGGCGTACTCTCACCCCTACTGTGAAACGTGGCGCTTAATAGCCTTCTACAATCCCTAGAAGGTGGTGGTTACAAAGTATTGATTATGGGGATGATGTCGCAATTGCCTTCTCTGGGAAATTTCCCCAAACTCTATGTGACCGCATGACGGACTTAGGGTTCTTTCAGCATGGCCAGTTAGGAATGGACTAGGTGTAAACCCATCCAAAATCGAGCTCGTCCTCTTCACCTCTTCTCCCTTAGCGGTAGCGTCAAGTACCTAGGGATTACACTAGACAGGAAACTGGACTGGAAGTCAAACACTATGGATAGAGCTAACAAGGCAACAATCGCGCTCTATACATGCAGAAAAGTCATTGGCCTTAAATGGGGAATGTCCCCAAAAATAGTGCGATGGCTTTACACAGCGGACAATACCTGTTAATCATCCCACCTTAAAATATAAGATATCCATTTCAACAAGGGAGGAATGGGCCACACAAAGCCCGGGACCAGCCGGTTCCCTTCATATTTACACAGACGGTTTGAAATTGAATGGCCATGTGGCCATGTGTCTAAATGAGTCCTTCAGACTCCCCGACCACTGCAGTGTATTCCAAGCAGAAGTAATAGCTATCGGGGAAGCACTTAGATCCCCGGCAATCAATACACAATCTGTATCTTCTCAGACAGTCAAGCGGCACTCAAAGCCCTTGACGGATTTTCATCCTGACTCCAGGACAGTCGCAGATCTCCTAACGAGATGGCAGAACTGTATGACATCCACCTCTTATGGGTGCCCGGACTAAGGACCACGAGGAAAATTGCGCCGCTGACGAACTAGCAAGGGCAGGTACTACAAATTCCCTCCTCCCTCCCTTAGCTACGTGTAGGCTAAAATGCAGGGATCACTTTGATCGCGCAGCACTAAGGAAATGGAGAAATCTCCAAAACTGCAGGAACTCACGCATGACATGGCCTATCCGCTCTAGGAAGAGATCAATGATGCTTATCGCCCTCCATAGGCAGGACGGCAGTCTGGCGGTCAAGACCATCACGTGACATTGGTTAATAGGAGCACGCGCGGGAGCTGTGGGGATGTAGAAGAGGAAGAGACAGTCGCGCTGGGGCGCAGACGACTCAAATTCTTGGGCGCAGACTCGAAGCCTTCATTCGTAAACCAGAATGGGACCTCAAGCTGCCGCAGGAAAGATAAGATAATCTTGGGCACATTACCAGATAGGAGGGGGAGGTCCCCTTCTAGGACCTGCGCCTGCGCGGTACCACAAGGAGCTCTAGCGGCTCAAGTGGATAGGGGTGTCAGTGCCCCGCATCGCCGCCTCAACCTAACCTTACCTATGTCCTCCACCTTTATATCGGCTTTTGTTTTGGCTTTAAGACATCAATCTCTGAAGTATCAGGGGCAAGACAAGAAACAAATATATGTTTAGATGGAGCATCATTTGCAGGGGTTTTGGTGTCGCAGGTACGAAGACTGCAGCATCAGTCGGTACCGGTGGTCCGAACTGTGGAATACCCTTTTAGGTGACTTTAAGGGGGGTTTTATTTACTAGGACCTGTGGTATCTCTTGAAGGGAAGACATATCGTCTTCCGTTACGAAGACGTAACTTGGGTTCTAGTCACGGAGGTGACTAGCTCTTGGGTTAGCCAGAGATATGAACGGCTGTGTTAATGTCGGATGACAGGCTGAGGCAAATCACAAAAAGCGGATTTCTTGAGCTTAGGGGACTCATTTAGCAGCTAAAGGCCGCTAAACTAAGTGTCAAGCGCACAGAGCTGGTCATTCACTTTATGAAAACCTATTTTATTAAATTTAACCTATTAAACCTTATTTTATACCAAATATACCACAGCACACGCGAAGCGATACGGTTTAAGATAAAACGGAAGTTTCCAAAATTTGATTCTCAAGTATTGACCTATTATTTACGGCTCCGGTATTTGGTCGCAAGGCCCTCTGACCGAGCTCTGCCGCACGCTACTTTCCGCTATTCGTTACTAATACCATTAACCAACAGCATATAGATAACCCATTTCGTACAAGAAAATGGATGCAAAAATTTCTTGCGACAGGACCCAGAGGGAGATCTTACTCTCTTTCTTACGCTCATCGTTCGTTCATCTTACGCTTACATTCTCATTGAATTGTTTCTGTTTCTCATTCTCTGAAAGAAGCGCGATGAAGAAGGTTGGTCTGCGCTTGGTTTGATCTTTGTATGTATGCGTGTCACAGATTCACATACACGGGTGCATGTGTGCGTGCGGTTTAGTTTCGAAGTCAGCGCACACATTAATTATTTTCATTTATTAAATGAAAAAAAATTTCATATCCATTTTAAAATGTATGCTGAAATATTACAAATTTTTATATTATTTCTTTCGTCATTTTATCCAAGAACGAATACCCGAATTCTGTTAGGGTAGCAAGCCTGAAAAGTTAGTAAAATCGAAAATTGTTTGCATTGGCTTCGAAAATAGAATCTGTACTTTTAATTTTCTATCTTCAAAAACACGAAAGTTGGGTCATTTCCGATTGTTTAGTTATATGTTTAGTTACAGATTCTATTTTTGGTCTGTTGATCCGACCTACCAAATTGCTATATACTAAACGGCCGGATATAGCATTTGGTAAAAGTACCAACTTTGGTGTTCTTGAAGATAGGAGCTTAAGACTTTTAGCAGTGTTAAAAAGTCTTGCATAAGTAACATTAATCCATTTTATATTAACAGCACTATCTATATTCAAACCATACAGATAAAGAAACAAACAACAAAAATCCCACGTTTGCTTTTATTTAACACAAATTTAAAATTTGTTGTAGTATTTTTATTTTACATTTTAAAGTCCTTTTCGGTATTTTTCGCCTACCGTAAAATCAGTCATGCCTTTTCCTGCCGTTCCACAAGTACCGATTCCCACTCTCCCACTGACATTATCCGGGGAGGCAAATATACTTTTGACTTTCATTCCTTTTTTTTGATTTTTACTTGTAAAATGAAGCCATTTATTTTTATCAGATTCACGTTCCTCCTCCAAGTCTTTAAAACGTTGTTGTTTCTTTTGTTTACGTTTTTTTAAATATTCCTTTTGGTTCGGTCTATGCCGTCTAAAAAAAATCATGTAATTATATTATCTATCAAAAAATAAATACATTTTTATACTTGTTTGATGGAAAAACTTCAGAACGGGAAGTTCTTTCTCGCAGATCTTTCAAAGTTGTTGTAGAACGATTTTGATAGGCATCAAATATAACATAAACTTCACCTCCACTTGATATATCTTCAATAGTTGCATCATAGTATTGACGATCCTCCTTCCATTTAGCTTGACATTTATCGCCAATTTTCCAAACCTTAGCTGCTGATACTATTTTTTCGGCCTCTAAAAGTGCAGCTTCAATTTCGTCGAAATAGTTTGAAGATGCTGCTTTAGTTGAGGAAGGTTCCACATATGACGACTTTTGCTGTTCTTCTAGTTGGGTTTGTATTAAATCTCTTGTAAGTGTTATAACCTCACCAAGGTCACTTTTAAGTTTTAACAACTCTTCATTTTTTGGGTCAGTTTGCAGTGCAGCTTCAACCTAAGAGTGTGAAAACAAAAATATTTTTGTTTTAATATATATTTATACACAAAGAAAGCAAACTTCAAGCGAAGCTGAAGTTACTATACACTTTCAGAAAAGATCTATATGGAAAATATTGACCAATTCTTTTTATTTCAAATCCATTTCATTATTAAATCAATGATTTATTTCCGATTGATGGCAACAATTTGTCGAAAAAATAATCTGTTTGAAGTCCAAACTGAGAGACTAGTTGCGTAGTCTCTGACAGACAGACTTACGGACTTGGTTATATCTACTCAAGAGGGGATTCTACTCAAAAATATATATACTTTATATGGTCGGAGATGTCTTTATAACTGCGTTACACACTCTTGACCAAAATTGGAATGCCCCCTGCAAAGTATATAAAACACTAAAACTCCCTTTCATCAAAATTTTTTACGCAGTTTGCTTCCCAGATTCTATTCTAATTGTTTTTCATTTGAATCCCATGTTACTGTCCTCACCAAAACTTATCTAAATCCGTAGATGTTTAGCTTTAAAAGTTTTTCCAAATGAGTTAATAAAAAAAGTGCATTAGTCTTTGCTTGTCGGAGAAAAGCCTGGGATTCAAAATTTCAAATCTTGCCGTCCTTATCTTAAAAGAGTTAACTAATGATTTTGATGAGTTACTTGCTGTACCACGTTTTACTATAATATATTCCTTTCGAAGGGTAATTGAAGGGCTAGACAAAAAAAAAATCGCTTAAGTTGCATATAATTTTAGACCAAATACGAAAACTTGATTCGTTCTTACAAGACAAAGTGTGATTAGATGAGAGTAGCATTCCAGCAGATGTTCGACAGAAATATGGTCATCTTGTATAATTACGACCAAGCAATTCATTAGAGTTCGCTTCGAAAACGATAACCAAAATTTGATTTTGCGCGCGGCATTATTTTAGTTTTTACTGAAAGCGAGTAAGGGATGAGATAATAATAATTGCATATCATACAGAAAACGCATACGAAAAGCTTAAACGATATGTATATCATAAAGTTTGTTATGTCTTAGAGATAGAGGTCAGCTGCTGCGAGTGTTTGGCTTAACTCCCCCAAGTGACGCCGTTGTTCATCCAGGGTTAAAAAAGGGATTTGCAGAGACTCCTGAATGTGTAGATCGCGATGTTGGAACGTTGGGAAAAAATTTATGTGGGTGTGTTACACCACTTATAAATCATGAACGTAAGCGTGAGCGTAACGTATCGTGAATTTATGTGCGTGTCATATGCCACTGAAATAGGGCCCTGCCGATCACTTATCTACAGACAGCAATGGCAAAAAAAAACGCGATTGGGCCTATGTGAGTCGTCGAACGGTCAATTCTAGAGCCGCGCGAGATATGTAGAAGAGCACAAGATCAGGGAATCACAATCGAAAGAGGCACGAGATGAAGGTAATAAACAAAGACAACTGAAACGAAGAAAAGCGCACAGATTCATAGTTAGAAAAATAATTAACCAACAACGCCAACAAGTTCATCGAGAATTTACATCAGAGCTATTTCTTTGACTAGCATTCCAGATTATTGGTATTTTGGAAAAAAATGCCTGTACTGTCATACACTCAAATTTAAAAATGAGTCAGTTGGGATGTGTTGCTCATCAGGAAAAGTACAATTACCCGAAAATGAAACACTACCTGAACCATTACGCGGTTTACTTCTCGGTACAGATCCAAATACTACCCTGTTCCTTGCAGTCAATTCGTACATTAAATTCATGCTTCCATATGACAATCGTGAACTGCAGTACGATGCTGTACAAATGACAGGCATTGTTAGTTACAATATTCCACTACCTAATATACAATATTCCACTACTTAATGTACAATATTCCACTACGTGCAGGACAAGGAGGATTTTTTTCATGCACCAGGTGGAATTTGCTAAACATTTCTTATTTCGCTACTTATTGCCGAGATACGATCAAAAAATGGCATCGCATTGTCCATTGCATCTTCAGGCAATGCAGAAACTTTATTAGATAGGGGCAGAACGGCTCATTCAGCACTTAAACATTGAACATTCAAAATAATCCAGATGCAGTGTACAACATACAATGTAAACAATGTAAAATAATTATTTTGGATGAATGCACTATGGTACGTAAACATTCGCTTGAGGCATTGGATTGGACATTTAGGGATATAAAAAACAATGACATTTACTATTCGTTTGTCACCAATATTTACCTTTATTTGATATAACTGTACTAAATGTAAAATTTAAAAACGAAAAAATAGCAAAATGTAGATAAGTAAAATTTAAATAACTTCTTAAATGATGTTTTCTTTTTTTATTGTCGATTTTTTCCTTTTGAGAGACCAAAACCAAGATATTTGCTATTAAGTCTGCAAACATACTGGGGGATGAGGAAATTAAATAATTTAACATTAAACTGCCCTGAAAAGTCGCTAAAAATGAAAAAATTTAATTTTTCAAAAGCTAATCTATCTATGAAAAGTGCGAAGATATTTTTTGAAACTAATATACATAGTATGAACACACAATTAAAATTGTTGAAAAGTTTATTTTCAGTCCTGGTTGACCTTTTTTCTTTTTACACATACATACGTATATTTTAACAACTAAAACAAAACTATAATTTTCTTTTTAAATTAGGTCTGAAAATACGATGTTGAAATTTCCTGTTTTTAATGACGTTTTTATTAAGTTTTAATTATGCTTTTTTTTGTTGTTATAATACTAGGTTTAGATTTTAATTGGTTTTGCTCTGTCACTCGTAATAGTTACCTGTTGCAATTGTAATTTGTAGTTTTGCAATTCGTCCGTCATTTTAATTAATCACTTAAAACATATCAAGAAATTTTATTTTTAAACAATCAAATGCTAAGATAGCAATAAATATAAAAACAAATAATATCGATTTTAAAATTTTTGTGTACGATAAGATTTGCGGACAAGATATTTCATTTATTGTCTGAAAGGTACAGTGGAATATGAAACATAAGAAAATTGAATTCTTCAAATAGTTCCGCAAATGTAAATGTTAAGTTCTGCTACTAAGGTACTGCGATCTTACAGAAAGAACTGATAATAATACAATTAAAAGTAACGCTGCACAAAAATTTAGCTCAATAAAAAGCCCATCATATTAACGCAAAATAGAACAGATTGAATCCATTATGTAGGGGTGTCAAAGCTCTGTAAACTGCAATACAAATGCAGAAAATCATTATTCGGTTTGACGATTTATTAGAGACTAAAAAATGCTGCACGCAGGCAGAACCAGAACTTAAAGAGGAATGATAATTCGTTACTCGTTACTTTAGTGTATAACATAAGAGGAATAAGATATACTGTGGTGCATATATAAATATTTTCAACACTCCTTCTCACCGCGGTATGTCTAATTCAAAAGATTCTTTTTTAGTTTAACCCTAGTGAAGTAATACATTTTGTGTGCTTAACTTTACATCAGAGGTCGGCACCCCAATACATTGATATAATTTTACCGCATTAGTGTTAGTAACGTATAGTAGAAAGTAGGCTTTGAGCATGACGTTTCACACATTTATACTGTGTGTGTGTGGCAGAGCTCGGGCAGAGAAATTTCCTATGCCCCCGAGATAGGGCCGTGCCGACCTCTGCTTTACATAGAGCTTTAGTTAGAACATCTGAAATCATTTTTTCGGTTGGAACATATTCAATATCAATAACTTTTTTCTTATATAAATCTCTTGTGAAATGATACTTGATATCTATATGTTTACTTCTAGCATGAAAACTCGCATTCTTCGCTAAACATTGGGCGCTCTGGTTGTCACTGTAGATCATCAATGTTGGCAGATATCAGCTTCAGCACATAAGCTGCCTCCTTAGCTGCTGTTGAAAGCGCCACATACTCAGCCTCCGTGCTACTGAGTGCTATGATGCTCTGCTTCTTCGACTCCCACGAAAACGTTGCTCCAGCCAAAAAGAACGCCCAACCACTGAACGATTTGCGGTCAGAACAGTCACCTGCCCAGTCTGCATCCACAAAGCAGTGAACAGGCACACCAGTTCGATCAAAGTGCAGCTTCAAGCTCGAAGTTCCTCTTAGGTAACGAAGGACGCGTTTAGCGGCCACCTCATGTTCCTTATGGGGGTCACTGCACTTCTGAGCCAACTTTGCCACACAATGAACAATGTCCGGCCTCGTAGTCATTGCTAGGTACAGCAGTGATCCAATAAGCGATTGATACTGCTTCTGGTTGGCTCGTGGACAGTCTTCCAAAACACATAGGTTCTGATAACCAACCTCCAAAGGCGTTGCATTCGGCTTACAGTCTTCCATGCCATAATCTCGTAACAGCCCGTCGATATACTGCTTGTGGCCAATTGCCACACTGCCCGTCTCTCCATCCCGCTCGATCTCCATGCCTAAAAAATGTTTCAGCTCTCCGCCATCTACTACTTCGAATTCCCGTGCGATTTGAAGTTTTATGTCGACAAGGTCTTCTTTTATGGAACAGCCAATAATTAGATCATCGACATATACAACAATTATGTTAAATTTTTCGCCGTTGTTCTTGGTGTAAATGCATGGCTCACTGGGACATTCAATTGTACAAAACCAATACGCTGAAGAGTACTGTCCAATTTCTGGTTCCATTCACGCCCACTCTGCTTCAGACCGTATAAAGACTTGTGTAACTTCAACACCCTTTTTGGATACGCTGTGTCCACGAACCCTTCCGGTTGCCGCATGTAGACTACATCTTGTAGGTCGCTATTTAGACACGCAGCTGAGACGTCCATTTGATGCATAAACATTTTGTTCTCGACAGCCAGTGCGATCACCAATCGGATAGAAGAATACCGAGCCACTGGGGAAAATGTTTCTTTGTAGTTTATGCCGTACTCCTGTCCACAAACTTTTGCAACTAAGCGAGCCTTGAACCGTTCCACGTTGCCGTACTGGTCACCTTTAACCGCAAACACCCATTTGCATCCAATAGTTCTCTCGCCAGGAGGAAGATTTACAAGACTCCATGTATTGGTGGACTGTAGTTGAGAATACTCCTTCTGCATCGCAACCTTCCATTCTTCAGCCTGTATCGAGCTCAAAGCCTCCTTGACTCCACTCGGTACTTGGACGTCGGCAACTCCAATAGCGTTAAGCATTATTAGGAGCATATTAGCGTTAGCGTTATTGTACTCCATACGTGGTCGTCCTGGCCTTCCAGTACGAATTATCTTAGGCCTACCTGGGCCTCGCTGAACTCGTTCGACGCTATCAACCAACTCGTCTTCACCATCTTCGGCTCCCGACTGTCCGTCCCTTGCATGATCTCCGTCATTTTCATCGTGACCCCCATTTATCTCCTCACCAAAAACGCTTCCGTTTTCTGCCAATTCTACTGTCGATATATCCTCAGTTTTTGTTATATCGTGCTCAAGGAACACCACATCTCAGGCTTCCTTGATAGTTTGCGTATCAGGATTGAAGAGTCTATACGCTTTGGCAGTTTCTGAATACCCAACCAGGATATGCTCTATTCCTTTCTGAGAAAACTTTCTTTTCATTGTCTTGTCTAGCACAATTGCCTTTGTACCAAACACCTTAAGATGGGATACGCTGGGCTTTTTCCCAAACCATGCTTCGTATGGAGTCATGTCTGTCAATGTAGACGTTTCTGATCGGTTCCTCAAATACATCGCAGTCATTATCGCTTCCCCCCACAGGTACTCGTTCGCATTAGCGTAAACCATCATGCTCCTTGCCATTTCCACTAGCGTCCGATTGGCACGCTCAGCCACGCCGTTTTGCTGTGGAGTATGGGGAACGGTGAGCTGCTTCTTAATCCCATTGCTTACCAGGAAGTTTTCGAATGCTCCATTTATGTACTCTCTACCATTATCGCTCCGTATAGCTTTAATCTGCTGCCCAGTTTGCTTCTCAGCCAACAACATAAATTCTTTGAACTTCTCAAAAACTTGGTCTTTTGTTTTAAGCATATACACCGATACATAACGCGTCTTGTCACGCGTCAGGAGGAAAGTGCGGGTCGAAGAAAGCGGACGTGCCGCGCGGGCGCTCCCGAGTGACGCGGCCAAATACTGCAGAATCTAAAAAAGGATCGGGTAGTGGGTAACCGGACAGCTGGGGACGGACTCACCTACGCGAACCACAACACTCCCTGGATAGGTCAATAGATGGCCTCCGCGAAGATCAGGATGTGCCGCCAACCGCCGAGGTAAGAGACGCGAAGAGAGCTTTCTCTTCTAGGAACTCTCTTCGCGACACCTTTCTCCTGAGTTGACCGAGCTAAGCAAACGTGGCTGCCCCCACCAGAATTGCGCAGGTCATGGCAGCTGATCGTAACCAGCTGGTGGGCAGTGTTGGGAAACGCCCTAACATTGCCTGCCGGTAGAGGGCGCGGACCAAGGGCACCAGGGCTCCCGGACGTCGCAATGACGCGACTACAGGAGCCCGGTAGAGGGCGCCAGCGACTCAAGGCAAAGCAAAGGGTAGCATACCTTTCAGGGCTGCTGCCTCAGGTCCTTTGACCAACCTAGAGCGAAAGGGGCTAGAAATCTCTGGCCTGCCATGAGGTGACGAAGGTCATGGAGCTGACCAACTGCCAACCCCTACGGCGGTTCACCCTTAAAAGGGGCTCTGGCGACCGAGCAGGAGCGGTATAACTCCCATCGCTCCCGCCAGGAGGAAATTCCAGGCGCACCGATGGAAGGCAGTGCTGAAACCCCCCAACCGCAGCATGCATTAGCCATGCTCTATGCACTTTCCTCATGCGCCACTTCATGCGAAGACAAGGGCCGGAAGGATGTGAGGCATCAGACGGGAAGCAGAAGTTGCCCCATGTCAGCGAAAGGAGGTGGACCTAGGACGACAGGATGCTAGTGCTTCAGCTGAACCTGAACCACTGCAGGGCGGCTCAAGATGTGCTGTCGCAGACTGCGAGGGAGACGAAGACGGACATAGCGCTCCTAAGCGAGCCCCATAGGACTGGCTCAGACAACCGCTGGGCAGTGGACCTATCGGGGAAGGCTGCCATCTGGAGCTGCGGCGCAACCGGCGCGACAATGCATTCAGTGCACAGTGCGGAGGGATTCGTAAGGGCTCGGATAGGTGGGGCATGGCTTTACAGCTGCTACATGGCACCTAGCCTAACCACCAGTGAGTTTGAGCGCATGATGGACTGCCTGGGAAAAGATATCAGAGGCCGCTCCGACGTCCTGGTAGCAGGGGACTTCAACGCGTGGGCTCAGGACTGGGGCTGCCCGAGGACGAATGCGAGAGGGAGAGTGGTAAGAGAAACCTTCGCCTCACTCGATCTCGTATTGCTGAACGAAGGAAACCAGCACACCTTCAGCAGAGCCATCATTGACCTGACGTTCGCGAGCCCCTCGCATCGAGCAGGAGAGGCGGTAGGGTGGAGAGTTGGGGCCTGCTGCGGGCGAAGCAATGCCTAACGGTCGTCCCGTCCGTCCTCAAGCCCTTACTGTCCATTACCCACGACCAACCACAACCCCCCCCCCCCCCTTTTTGGTTATGTTAACGGTCTAACGATTTTCCGCCACTTTTGGAAATTGTTTCACGCATATCTTGCTTTTCGCACAAGCCTCGCAAACAAAGTCATTCGTGCTACCGGTTACTCCGCGTAGACCATACACTAGTTATTTTCGAATCATGGATTTTAAACTTTCGAAATTTAAATGTCCGAATCTATTGTGCCACGTTATTACTTGATTTGTTTTTCCTTTTGCAGCAAAAGCCGTTTTGTTTTTATTTTCGAAAATAAACAAGTCATTCTGTTTGTTTGCTTTTAATACCGTTTCGCCGTTCTTATTATTGACACTAGCACTATTTTTCGAAAATCTTATTTCGAACCCGTTATTAGTTGCTCTC